TTTTAAAACCTTCCTTCAATATATCAGACAAATCACTGCCTCAGTCCAAGTGTCACTTGAAGGCAGGGTTGAAGCCTCAGGCTTTTTAATTCATGTAGCACAATCAAGAAAAGCTTACTTTTGATGAAAGCAGGAGCAGCCCAACTGCAGATGATCAAAGACCTGAGAGTTAACTGGTGTACTGGGAAACCTAATCTGTCTCTCACTAGTGAGCTCAGTAAGCTTCTCAGCTGGAAGAGAGGTTGCAGTGGGAGACAGGAAGGTTAGAAAAGAAGAAAATCTCAGTGAAAAATGGAAAATTACAGAGTAAGTAGTATCTCACTTCTGGGCATTCAGTACTGAGGGCCATAAAAAAAGAGTCTCTCCGAGCACTTGCAGCTTGTGTGGTGTTAAGATACAGGATTTGATCCTGGAAAAATGTAGATTTGAAAGCTACAATTGACCTGAATGGACATAGGGCAGTGAGTTGTGTGTAGTGCCTGGTACCCTGGGAAAACACAATCCCACGCGCAGCTGTGTCGTTTGTTATAATTTGGTTGTAGTTGTGTTCCCTATTGTAAAGAATCATGAATTCTTGTGTTGGTTTTCCCATAGACTTGTGACTTTTGAGAGATAAAAGTTACTTAGATTTCAGCAGAGGAAACAAAGGCAGTGCAGGGAGAGGACGTTCTGGAGGTGACATATCAACTCTGTTTTATGGATATAAAACATGACTGCCATTCTTTTACAACTGAAACACAGCCCTTCCCTACAGCAAAAGGAGTAGTGTAGTCAGGTGTGCCACTAATCGAGAGCATAAATCAAAATAAACTGCACTACACCCTTGCATCCACCACTAGCTGGATGTCAGACTGAGGAAGATGATGGGGAGGACAATTTCCATTTGTGCTAATTAAGCCTTCTGACAGGCAAATGTATCTTCGTTCACAGGGAACTACATGGTTTAGAGTGGGAGTTAATAGGCAGAAGCAGCACTCAGAGCCCAGGGAGTGGGTGAGACTGATGCTTCCTCTGGGAGAGCGGCGCGGGGCTGGTCTCCAAATCCTGCCAGCAGACCAGACCCTGCCGAGCAGAGGAGCTGGGTTTAAAGGACATCTGTGGGGGTTGAGGGAACCCATGTTCCTTGTACCTGAGCCCGGCGCTGTGCAGAAGCTGTATTCTGGGAAAGTACAACATGAAGCACTTCTGTGGGAAGAGGTTGGCCAGTGCTCCAGGGAGCTGCCTCTGCTAATTTGCCTCGGTGTCTGTAGCAGGAGGGGGATTGCTGTGAAGCAAATAAATAGCATGAACACTCCTGGGAGAAAGAGAGGAAACTTTTTTTTTTAGTCTCTTGACCAGATACTGCCATCAGTGTCCCCTGCCTTTGCTGCAGGAGCCACGTGTCCCATCGGCAGCGTGTCATCCAGCCTGTTTCATGGGTCCTCCCTCTGCGCTTCCACAAAGTGCCGAATGGTGAATTTGACACTCCCAGTGACTCTGCTGGAAAAACTGGAGCTATTGTGAGAGTTAAAGACTTGCAGGACACCCCTGTGCTTTTCGAAGCTGTAGGTTAATGGAGTAACTTTCCTACAAATGCAATGCTGCCTCATGGATTTCCTTTCAGATCCAGAATTGCCTGATTTTCACCTAATCCTTTCCTCTTTACCCTTCTGCCTCTATGGTAACACATCCTTTTTAATGTCTATTTTTGGTTTGTGGATAGGGTAAACGGGCAATGATCAAAGGGGGTCTCAGGAAATTTCATCTCTTTCATAAAATGTCATCTTTGTCTCCAGTGCCATGGGCTGAAGCCAGCTTTCCCCTTCTGCGGCGTTCCCACATGATAGCATTTGCTGTTTGACATCTGAGTTGCAGTTCTCTAACTTAGCAACAGAGCAAAAAGCAGAAAAAATAAAAATGCATGTTAATCTAGATTTTGCCATTCTTATCTGTCCTGAGGCACATATACAAGGTACTGAAATCCAGCGGTAGGTGAAAGGTGAGGATGAGGCTGTAAGAGTGGTGTGTAACGTGATGAGTGTTGCGTGGGGATGTATACCTGCCTCTAGCTATTGTGTAGAACATGCACATTCAACGTCCCAGTCTTGTCTGACTCAAAGAACCAAAGTAAAGAATGGATACCCCAAAGGAAAATGAGTATTGCAGAATGATGAAAAAGTTGTCTGGACTGGTAGCCAGAGTGGACTCCTTCACCCCTGTAAAATTCTGTGACCAGTAACAAGTCCTATGGCGTTGGCTCCACAGAGGGAGATTTCAGTTTAATTTGGGCAATTTTTCTGGAGTACATCCACACAGGGCTTTGGCTTGGTGCAGTCAGGTGCGCTCTTAACCCACTCTCAGTTTGAGCAGCTTTCAAAGTACACAAGTTGCTCAGCTCCATCTCAGAAAACCAAGCACACAGGAGATGTGCCAGTGGATTTCAGCTACTCCTTAGTAAAGGCTGAATTTCCAGGTGAATGACTGAGTTGGAAGGAGAGACCAAGACTTTTGGCTGAGAGACCAGATGAAGGTTCATGTTACATGAACTTTATCTACCTTCTGGAGTCTTTTCCCAGATTTGTCACTGATTATGGAGCGCTTTAAATACATCAATTCCTCTACAAAAGGTATAGAATCATAGAATCATTAAGGTTGGAAAAGACCTTTAAGATCAAGTCCAAACCGTCAACCCAACACCGCCATGCCCACTAAACCATGTCCCGAAGTCTACACATCTTTTTAACGCCTCCAGTGATGGTAACTCCACCACTTCCCTGGGCAGCCTGTTCCAATGCTTGACCACTCTCTCCATAAAGAAATTTTTCCTAATATCCAGTCTAAACCTACCCTGACGCAACTTGAGGCCGTTTCCTCTCATTCTATCACTGGAGAAGAGACCAACACCCACCTCACCACAACCCCCTTTCAGGTAGTTGTAGAGAGCCATGAGGTCTCCCCTCAGCCTCCTCTTCTCCAGACTGAACCACCTCAGTTCCTTCAGCTGCTCCTCATCAGACTTGTGCTCCTCACCAGCTTTGTTGTGCTTTTCTGGACATGCTCTGGCCCCTCAACGTCCTTCTTGTAGTGAGGGGCCCAACACTGAACACAGGATTTGAAGTGTGGCCTCACCAGTGCTGAGTACAGGTAGGGACAACAAATACATTTTTAACTCATAAAAATATATTTGTTTCCTTGAAGACTGTGCAAATACATTTCCAAATAGTCACATTTTTTGAAGATTGCTGAGCTATTTTTTCTTTTTCTGACAATAATCAGTTTACTTCTTTATTAGGAATTTATGATGTTTTCCTGCCACCTTCTAGGCATGGCCTTCTTCCTTTCAGTCTCAAGGTTTGTGCCTCTCACTGGATCACAGAAACGATTGCTTTGGGATTTGGCAGAGCTGAGGTGGTGAAAACCTCAGGGAGAGGTGAAGGAGACACATCCTCAAGTAGCATTTGACAGGATAGAAACGTTCCCAGTTGGTAGCAGATTGCTTTGGAAAGCTCTTGGGCTTTTTCCAGTCGCATATATAGTCCCTTTCTCCCTTCTATAGGTTTCTCTTTCCCCTACTTCATCAGATTGATTTCTGGATGTACTTACAAGGCAAAATTCAGAAGCTGTTTGTTTTTAGATGCTTTTGGCCTTTAGAGGCCCTGCTGGAGATACCTGGAGATGTTGTTTTCTGGACACTGTCCCTTCCTACAGTTCCCCTGGGAGGTGTGAATGCTTGGCACTTCTCCAGAACAGATCAGTTTTGGATCCCCGAAAATTTTGGTATCAACTATAAACATGAACTACTAAGGAAACTAACGAGGCTTTCCTACTTAAGGAATATACATCCAGACCTAAACAGACATTCATGTCAAACGTGAATTTTGGTGTTATTTTAAAATGACACAAACCCAAAATATTACATTTCCAATGATGGTTTAAATAAAGCTCTTCCAGGAATTTTGTATTTTTCTTTCATATTGAAAATTCAACAGATAGTTTGGAGTTACAGACATGGATTCTGAGATTTTGAAGGATCCATCAAAATAACTTGCTCTAGCCTTGCTCATCATACCTATTCGTCTAGGTCATCTCCTCATATTTCTTCATTATGCTCATAACTACTGTATGGGTATGTGCAGTTCTTAGGTATTACGTTTTAATACAGGCTTCTAATGATAAGTGGTGAAACTGATACAGAGCTTGGTTTAAACCCTAAATCTTTTTTGTTGTTTCAGTACAGTCTCATTGAATTAACTGGACAGCCTGGGCTGTCTCTGGCCCCTAAACATGAGTAGCTACCATTTTGTTTTGTTTTCCTATCATTCCAGTCTGATAGCTAAGGTGGAGAAATTTAACCAAAAAGGTAAATATTCATGTCTATATTTTAATTAAGAGTAGCACTGTCATTTGTGCTGTGCCTGAGCATTCGAATCCTTTTGTTCTCAAAACCATCTCAATTTTTTTGAGAAGAAATTCTAACTTCTCTTCCCCTGAAAACATACCAAAAGAGTAAATCCCAGTGAAAAGCTCAATTGCATAGAGGTATACAACAGTCTCCACAGACAAGATGCAACCTCCAGCACTTTGCTTGCCACTTAAGAGCAAAATTTAAGGAAGTGATTTTTAAACTCTCAGCACATTTGGACACCCAAAGGATGGGAACAGTGTTCCTTAAGTGATCAGTGCTTTTCCCCTGATTTTTAGTGGCAGCTGCCATGTGCTCTCTACTGGAAAAGGTAGCTGGTCCTTGCTGGTGCCTACAAGATAGATGAACTCTTCTGAGAACTGAGAGTTCTGATGAACTCTTTCTAGAGATGGGCAAACTGGACATGGGTGACTGTTCTACAATCAGCAATGCCATCTGTGTTTTCCTGTGAAGTAATAACCTGCCTATGGGCCAGACAGTGTAGTCTCAAGTTAGGCAGAAATCATAAATGACAGCTTTAAGCAAATTTATGTTGATGTGTAAGACAAGTATTCCAGTCTAAGTCTTATTTATAATCTTTTTCCTTGTTCTGCTTCAGGTATTTTGAGTTTTATGAAGGGCCTTTGGAATACAACTCTACCAAATGCCTGGAATTACGGCAGGACATCATTGAGGTGAAGGTTTTGTCTATGTAAGTATGAATTAATGTTTGCTAAAAGGTTACTTCTCAGGCAGGATGAAAATGATAACTTATGATAAGATTGTCAAAGGTGCAAGGTTTAAGAGATTCCATCAATAGGAATTTCATCAGGGATTCCTGGGGTTCTCTTATATGTGCAAGTATTCACATTTGAATTTGATCTGAGGTCCATTTGAAAAAACTGGAGGCATTTCACATACACTGAGGCATTTTCATCAGGCCCAGTATTACTGTTTAGAATGAAATACAGTGTAATATTATCTATAATATTATATTCCATGTCCTCTGCTGAGGGTAATTGAAGAGTAAGAACAGCCATACTGACTCATAGCAAGTGTCCATCTAGCCTAAGGCTCTATCATTGACAGTGGCCAGCAGTGAAGGCTAAGAAATGAAGCAAAAAGGCTAGCCCTTCCTGATAACAAATACTGGCATGGGGACTTGCTGAGTGGTAGGTGATGACTAGACTACAGTAGTCAAAGTGGACAGTAGGCTTCTCTGTTAATTTTTTTAGATCTTTTCTGAGCCCATTTGTACATTTGGCCTCTCTGTTAATTTTTTTAGATCTTTTCTGAGCCCATTTGTACTTTTGGCCTCTACCATTTCCTACAGCAGTGAGTTTCACAAGTTAGTAACACTGACTAAAGAGTAGGAAAATGTAATTCTGAGAAATAATACAAATACCTATATTTTGTCTGTGTATGTACATCAGAAAACTAATGAGTTGAATGAGATGTATCCATTAAGCCACAGAGATGGAATCAGGTAAAAAACTGATGTTGCCAACGGAGCTCATTGGACGGAGCAAAGCAGGGTATTTTTGTGTTGCCCTTTTGCATTTTCAGTGTGGCACTGAATTTAGGTGCTTAAATTATGCCTAATCCCTTACCATATCTAAACCCATCAGTTTAGTAATCTCATCGACAATCCACAAGGTTTATTAAGGTCTGTAAAGTGCACTGAGAATCTCAGTTGGAAGTGCAGCTATACAAGTGCATAGCATTAAGCAATCAAGGCTACAACAAATACAACTTGTTGCTCCAGGTCAGCATGAATATTTGGGTATGTCCTTTGCTGACTTTGTGCACAGAAAAATGTAGGTTATGTCCTTGTCTTCTGTATTTGGTACTGGATGAAGGATACACGAGTAACAGCTTTGCACTGCTTGCTGACTTGCAGTGCTTAAAAATAAATAGAAGGGGTGAGAATGTGACACTTTTGCCAATGTTCTGCTGAAGATGGGGAGTTTTGAATTGCTTTTCTGCATACTTATCAGATGGTACAGAGAATTACTCATTTCTCTTCATCTTATCCAATGGTACATAGAAGGTAGTGGACTCCTGCTCAGCTGGATAGAGTTAGCCTTACTTTTATGATAGATGCCATTTGACATTAAGCTCTTTTACTATGCTGGGTTCTTCTGATGTGCTTGCTTCTAACGTGCTCCATTTCCTAAGTCAGCCCTTACGGTAATGGAAGATTTCCAAGTTACTGTGCTCTGGTGGGCTGCAGAAAGTACAATATGACCTAATTCCTTCCTTTAACTTCCACAGCCTGGGAAATCCTAAGTTCTACTCGCTTTAAGTATATAAGTGTCTTAAAAGTCTTTGCTTTATTGAAACATTCAAAGCCCTCAAGCCTGAACGGAACTCATTAAGATCTATCAGTCTTGAAGAAGTCTCAGACTTCAAAATTTCCCAGCCAGATTATGACATCGCTCCCTAGCTCTAGATATTTGCAAGGCCTTTGTTATCTCTGTTGTCCAAATACAGAAGAATATGTATGAAATCTAAGGTAGAAGTGGCTGGAATGAGATCACCAAAAATGTGTCATCATGCATCAGCCCAGTGGAAGTAGGGGAGTCATTTTTTGATATAACTAAAAGTATATTTATTAACAGAGAGGGAGGGAGAGATCATTACATAAAGAGCTTTTCATGTCCTCTTACCGTCACAGATGTTTATCCCTACACGTGTGCTCTTGCAGTTTATAAAATGAATTTACCAACAGTGCTGTTCTGTAGGATCTCACAGATGAAGATAACCTCACCCAAGTTTAATGGTAGTTCGCCAAATTATCTGAAGTGTCCTCTTTTCCAATATCCCCTCTGCTGGGACCTTCTGCTTAGGTGCAACTTTTTTCCCCAAAGCTGCTGTAGTTCCCAGACACTCATTAGCTTCCCAGCAGACTGTGGACAGACTTTGGTGCAGTAGATGCTTCTTGCTTGATATTGCATTTTTTATCCTGAAGAAATGGAGAATTCCTATCAGGGAATAGAAATTAGTCTCAAACATCCGAAGAGCTCCATCAGTACCTGTGTATACATGGCTTAGAGTTGCTATGTCTGAGCAGAAAATGGAATTTAAATGGTAAATTTTGCACTGGATTAACTGGTTTGCCCTATCAAAAGCCTACTGCATGGCTGCAGCTGTTTTAGAAAATGATGCCCTTGTAATAAAATGAATTTTTATTTTCTTTCTTTTTATCTTTTAGGGTGAAACAAACGGAATTGTTTGACAGATGGAAGAGCCTACAGATGTGCAAATGGGAGATGAATGTCACAGAAGCTAATTTATTCAAGTAAGACATGGTCCACATTAATGAGACTGAGTAAGATTTACTTTAGTTTGAGTTTAGCTTCCTGTAGAGCCACCAAACCTTCGTATGGATAGCAAGAATAAAGATTATAACTCTGTTACTGTTGCAGTATCATTCTTTTGAATCAATATGGACTTTTTTCTGCTTTAAAAAAGTCAACAGCAACAGTGAAAGAGAGTTCTTCTGGCATGTGGGACAGTCTTCCCAGAAAAGGCAGGGAATTTGGTATGGGAAAGACTTTTTCAGGTCTGATTCAGGCAGACGTGAGGATGGAGCCAAGACTTAATGGCTGCACCTAACACATCTACCTAACTCTCTGGTGGTATAAAATGGTCATTGGTGACACAGCAAATTTGGTCTGCAAAATACTCAAACTGGACTTTTTCTGTGGTGTATTGGGTAATGTCAGACCTTGTTTATAATTTTCTTTTTTTCATGGCTTGTCAGCTATTAATCCCTGACTATCTAGATATTTTTTCTGGTCTTCGGAGACCTCTGCAATTTGTTTCTGTTGTACTCCGTCTTCATGTGACTTCCTCTTTGCTGAAGGTCCTCCATGGACCTCCATGTATCCTTTCAAGATACAACTTTTGAAATTGGTCTTGTGAAGGCAATAGTAGAATGAAGCCAAAACAATATTTGAATGTTGTCTATTGGTGTATTCAAGGGCCATATTTGAGTAGGTCTAGAGAAACCACGTTATTTCAGAGTAAGCGGAATAGGGACTGGTTAAGTCTGTAAGTCACCGGCATGATTCAGAGCTGTTGCTTAAAATAAGGCCCCACAACTTTCTCCCAAATTCTTTTGCATGATTCCAGGAAATAGCTGTCACGAGTTAATGAGAGAATGTGAGAATGCATGTGCTGAGTTAGTCATTAACATCTTTAAAAATAACTAATTGTTAGTCCCAGGCTCATAACAGTTTTTCCAACATGAGCTCCACACATAAGTTTTTTTTAGGTTTTTTTAGTACAGTTTTTTCTGGAAGTTACTTGATGGGGAATTATCAGAGCCCACTTTGAAGACAAGAGGCATTCAGGATTAGAGCCTAGTATCTTGAAGACTGCTTGGAGTAAGAGAACTAATGATTGTGCCCAGAGTACATGGAGCATGTTGGAGGCCAGCCTAGGTGAGGGCAATGAGAAAGGACTACCTAAAGACCATCAGAAGCACTATCACTCTCTCTCAGGCCACCAACACCAGCACATTAAGCAAAGAACCCATCTCCATCCTAGACACTGTGTTGAGAGACAGAAGAGGTGAAAGGCTCCTGTTGCTGGCTATACCTGCCTGATTGATATATCACCACTTAAGAAACTCCCACTGACACCTAGATGTACCCTAACCTTTGTTAGCTGGTTCTAGGAACAAGAATCACGTTAGTCATGAAAAAAAAAAAGAACTTCAAAGTCTGTTTCATTTTTGTCTTATGGGACAGAGACTTCAGTGTGTGAATGTGTGGGGAAACTGTAGTCCTTTAAAAGCAAACCAAAGTCTCCGAGTTTAGAGGTCATCTAGCAGGAGGCTAAAAGGTGGTGGTCTAACCACACTGAGTTGTGGGCTTTTGAACTTTGACATTTCTCAACCCTCAGGTGATATGGGGACAATCCAACAAAAGTTAAATGGCAGCTACTTAAGCAGTAGGGAGGGAGGAAGCACAAAAATCACACTAGCTTTTGCATCTGGAGACTAAGGAAAAAAAATTTCCTTGACAGTCTTCCTCTGGCAGATATCAGACATTTACATTAAGGAATATGCCTCTGGAAAACCAGCTGGACATTAGGTTAAGGAACAACATCTCTTTCATTTCCTTAATGCAGAACTAATGGAGGGTTTTTTCATATCTCAAATTTCACAATTCAATCCCACTACCTACTTGTAATTATTTAATGATTTCATTATTAGAAATTCAGTGACTTATTCAGTCTCAATTGCTACCTTGATCTGATCATCCTATTGTGTCATTCTGCATGAGTCAAGTATGTAATAGTAACTGGACATCACTGAAATGTTTGCATAATTCTGGTGCTTATAATAAAACCCATAAAGAAGACTGCCTTATTCTTCCAACTCATAATGAGGCCATATACCCAAGAGCCAAAGTATTTAATCTAGGTTATTTAAGAGCCATTTGGCTTTGTCTTCATGTTTGTGCATTTGCCATGACATGTATTTTTCATTAAAGGTATAAGATGCATTGACTGAGAAACAAACTGGCTCTGAAGTAAGAGTAAGCTGAAGTCAGGGCTTCAGTTCCATCAGTAAAAGGACAAAAGCATTCAGTGGAAGATGGGAGCTAAGACATGGACCCCTATTTGGAAATCTACTTTTCCTATTTAAATTTCATATGAAACTTATGGTAAGGGGGTCAGAGCTGAATGCGTTTTCTCTCATACCATGAATCCCATTTTTGGGATTTCAAAACTGTTCTTTTTTGCGTTGGAATACCTGCCGTTTTGTCCCAGTGACAAAGAAAATTTTGGCCATTTGTCTGAGATTTTGGAGTTGTAGCCATGACCAGTTATCCTGGCACCCATCTGTTGGGGTCACATCATCTTCCTGATGCACATATGCAAGGTCAAAGATAAAACTAAGACCTTTACTTTTTTTTTGTAATCAAAGTTTGCCATGCACCACAATAACATGGTAAGTGGAGTAGTGTTGTTAGGTATTGCTGTGTTTAAATCCCTGCCCTTCCAAGCTTCAACATCCCCATAGGAATAACCCCTGCGTTTCCTGCCCAGTGATGAGTAAATAATTTACAAGAAGTGGAAGACCTCTAAAGCAGAGAGGGACTAATTCATTAGGATGGTTTCTCCAGGATATTGGGGGCAGAAGCTCAGCTTTGGGGCCTGGAGCAGGGGAGAATTTGCACATGTATTTCCTGCAGCCTAGAAGAGACAGATACAGGGATGTAATTTTTTGTTTTGTTTTGTTTTTTTACCGTAAGTTCCTCAATCAAGGAAAATTTCACCGATTCTGAAATTTTCTAAAGGAATACCCAGCAAACCACCATTTTACCCTGAAAACTGCCTTGTTAGGAGTGATAGTAATTGCAAATCCTAAAGCATGCTATCAGCTCCTTGATCTTATTTCTCTCTTTTTCATTCTACAGGTCTACTTTGTCGAGGTGTTGCAATGCCCCTGCCTTTCTGTTCACCACCCAGAAAAACACTCCCTTGGGAACTAAACTGAAATATGAAGTGGATACTAGTGGAATCTTCCATATCAACCAAGAAATCTTCAAAATGTTTCCAAAGGTGCCTCATGCCTCTCTCTGTTTACAGAATTGACTTCACTCTATTTGCTGCATGAGATGCTATCCTATAGCCAAGTGTTTAGCAGTTGGCTGTTTGACATATCTACAAACTTCATTGCTTATGCTTTGAAAATGTTTATTTTTGATATGATATTTTAGATGATTAGCCTATTTTCTAGTCATCATCTGCTCTAGTATGCAATACATATATATCTTTTTCCCTGCAGAATATTACTGACCTAGCAGCAAAGTGGCTAATGAAATAACTTAAGAAAGCTGAACAAAAGACACACCTACTGGTCAGAACTTTAAAAAAGTACAATACTCACATATAATCAATCCAACATTTGGGATAAGTCTGCTTTTTTTAAGGGCATGATTATTTTATAATTCATATTCATAATGACTATTTTTATGCTTATTTCTGTTTGCTGCTTATCTGTGAGCAGGCTGCATGATTTTAAAATATATTCATCATAATGATTATTCAAAACCTTTTCAGCAAATAATCCTTGACCTGGGGCTCATTCAAAGTTATAACCAGTGGGCAATGCCCGTTGCACATAGTGACTGATGTGCAGAAATGGCTTATATGACTACTGATTTATCATGGGGCACACCTCATGAATTTAAAATTACATATTTGAAGGGAATAACTGAAATTTATCCCTTTCAGAAAGTCAGAAAAATATTCAAGTTAAGTGCTTAAATTTGTGTCATTAACATTGTCCTTCAGGGTCTAACCACTTTTAATCCGTTTGCTTTCGGAGCACTACTAAGAGTTAGGGTAGTGCTGTTACCTAAATGTGCACACGAGGAACTGGGGCAGAGCAGGGGAAAGGCTCAGACCCAGGAAAGGACTTTGGTCTTTGTAGACGTGCAAAGACCAGGTACATCTAAGTCCAGCAGTATAATCCTCAAAACCCTACCTGATTGCACAATGAATGCATGAAAGACGAGACGCCTACGCTTTTGCTAGGAGTGTCCTACAGCAGCTGTTGTATTTCACAGAATCACAGAATCATTAAGGTTGGAAAAGACCTTTAAGATCATCAAGTCCAGCCATCAACCCAACACCACCATGGCCATTAAACCATGTCCCAAAGTGCCACACCCACACATTTTTTGAACACTTCTAGTGATGATGACTCTACCACCTCCCTGGGCAGCCTGTTCCAATGCCTGACCACTCTCTCCGTAAAGAAATTTTTCCTAATATCCAATCTAAACCTCCCCTGGTGCAACTTGAGGCCATTTCCTCTCATCCTATCACCATTTACTTGGGAGAAGAGACCAACACCCACCTCACCACAACCCCCTTTCAGGTAGTTGTAGAGAGCGATAAGGTCTCCCCTCAGCCTCCTCTTTCCAGACTGAACAACCCCAGTTCCCTCAGCCACTCCTTTTCAGACTTGTTCTCCAGACCCTTCACTAGCTTTGTTGCGCTTTTCTGGACACGCTCCGGCATCTCAACGTCCTTCTTGTAGTGAGGGGCTTCCCTACTCCTGCTGGCTGCACCATTTCTGATACAGGCCATGATCCTGTTGCGCTTCTTGGCCACCTGGGCACACTGCCGGCTCATGTTCAGCCGGCTGTCAACCAGCACCCCCAGGTCCTTTTCCGCCGGGCAGCTCTCCAGCCACTCCTCCCCAAGCCTGTAGCGTTGCATGGGGTTGTTGTGACCCCAGTGCAGGACCCGGCACTTGGCCTTATTACACCTCACACAGTTGACCTCTGCCCATCGATCCAGCCTGTCCAGATGCTTGAGGATGCTTTCCAGGCTTTACCCCATGCCAAAGTGCCTTTGAGATTCACTGGGCAGCAGCTATGTGGCCAGAGCCACTCTCTGCCTAGGAGCAAGGCTGCAGCAAGGCAAACGTAGGAGACGAAGGGCTGAAAGCATGGGAGCAAGACTGTAAGGGCAAGAGCTTTGTGCTGAGTGTGGAGACCTGGATTCTGATCTCCATGAAAGGGACTATGAAGGCTTTTTGTGTTAAGAAATCACTGGATAAAGCACAGACAACTCTAGAATGCCTCTGTTAGCTGCTGCTTTTGTCAGACCGGTGTACGTGCATGCCGTTTTGCCTCACGGCTTATGAATGCTATGGGAAGATCCTGGGAATAATTACCTAGAAACATTGTGCCACTATCTCATCCCTCTGTAGGTTGCAGTATGAAATTATTGATAAAATATGTATGTACCAAAACGAGCGCTCTCATGCTTATATAAGCACATCTCTACATATTCATAAGGTGTAGTGTGGCTCAGTTGTGCGTCACAGCCCTCTCACCCTAACGGCCCAGTTCTGTTCTCAGAGATGTGATTTTCACCCTCTCTGGCTTCTACAGCAGCTGCATGTCTGCATATGAAGACAGAATTTTGCCCAAAGATTGCAGAAAGATGTGTCCTGCACGAGTCCAGAAAGGTGCTTGACCAAAGGCTCTAGGCACTCCTGGTAGTACAAGTGGTAATTAATAATTATTAACGCTATGAGTAGAATTAGTGGTAGCAAGCAGTAAAATCTGGGCTAGGTTCTGCTAAACAGCTGTAATGTGCTGTCTGATTTAGAGAGTCTTCCTGGGCTTTAGTAGCTGCTCCAGGACTATTTGTGCAGACTTATCAAAAGCAGGAGATCAGAGACTGAGGAAGAAGGAGTTTGCAGGCGGCTCCGAAGGCAACGCCTGGGATTCACTAATTTTGTGGTTCATGCCCTCATATGGAAATCAGAAGGGACAGCAAGTTTGAAAATTACTTCTTCCATTATTAAGTCTGGAAAAAACTTGGCTATTGCTTTTTTTCTCTCCGAGTTAGTTGTCTGTAGCATCTCTAATTGCACAGAAACCAATCCCACCCATTTATATACACCATGGGAATATTGTGGGCCAGAACCAGTGTCAACTTCCTATGGTTAGTGGATCTGCAGCAAGATGAAGCTGCACAAAAAAAAGGAAAAAGGAAAGAAATAAGACTTGTTGCCTCCATGTTTCAGGGGAATAACTGTTTCCTTGCTGTGATGTTGTAGGATATGCCGTACCACCGCTCCCAGTTTAAGAAATGTGCAGTGGTTGGGAACGGAGGAATCCTGAAGAACAGCAGATGTGGCCGGGAGATTGACAGTGCAGACTTCGTGTTTCGGTAATCACCACAGTACCACTTTTCTTTTTGCCTGTTTTGATGAGAAACGAAGAATTGCAAAGCTATTCTCTCTCAAATGAAAACATAGGGTTTGCCAAATTGGCCATATCAAGCCTGCTGCTTGCACAAAGTGCGATGTTTAAAAAAATACACAGCTCACTGTATAATATTTATTTAAAAATTATGTTTTGAGGAATTATTTCTCCCTAACTCCATGTGGTTGATCACTGACTTACTGACAAGGTTTGATGTCCTCATTCAGGACATCCCCTGTTACTCAGGTTGTGGACTTATTATTCTGTGGACGTTAGCCCAGGAGCATGAAGTGGATGTCCCGTGAATGTGACCATAATATTCTGGGGCATGCCAGCCCGTCAGCGATGGAGGCAGCACCTCTGGAATGACATAGTTAAGAAGGGGAAAGAAACCCAAGCAATTGCAGCTGGAGAGAG